CACAATTGTAATATATCTCCTCTAATGTTTTTTACAATTGGACAATACTTAAGTCAACTCTTAAGGTGGATCGTTTTAAGACTGCATTATGTCCGCCAGAAAGCCATCATGTACAATGTATTTTTGTTTTGTTTCTGCAGTTCAAGAGGTTTTCCCAAAGAAATAAGAGCGCCAACCGTTAGGGCTCCAGAACTCTCTTCCCATTCAGAAAGAACAGAAGACTGGCGGACAAAGATGTGAGTGACTCAGATGTTTGCATAACATACTGTATTAGTTATAATTTACACACGCTGCGTTGCCTGGGCAACGAGAAAATAAACTACGATTTCATGTTGACGGCCAAATGATCTGTTGCAATTTTCTAATACCGTGGCTGCTGTAGTAACCCCAGTTCTGATATGTTTTCAGAACACTTGAGTCATGTCCGACTCTGAGACCATCGAGCTAGCCGCTCTGGGCCGACCCTTCCAGCTGGGGATGCTGTATGACTGTCGCAGAGATGTCCTCATTCCAGGTACAGGAAACTATTACTATTTGGTTTGGAGGTAATGCATATTGATTATCTTAAATTCATTGACAGTGTTTCCACCATTGAGTTGGATAGAGGGCACACTGTTCTAGCATGGGGAACGCCATTGACGGCTTTCACCATTTTAAAGTAGTTTCTATGGATTAAGGAAGAATCAGCAGGAGGGGTCAGCCAATGAATTGCACTCCTGAGCGAACATTCCATAACTGCAGGTGTCAGTAAAACACCAACCTGGGCTTTATACCTGTTCAGACTATACACACTCCGCACAGTAGGTGGTGGTATGCACCTTTTCAGTTGATTTACAAACTGCTAATACACTCATAGAAGTTGAAGAAGACATTTGGGCCATACTTGTGTACATAAGCAAACATTTAAATGTAAACAGTTTCTCCAGCTCAAAATGTGTCTCGGCTAATTAAAAGTGTCGATTTTCATGCACGTGACAGAATGCTAACTTGTATCTGGTCCCATCAGATAACATTTTTGCATTTTAGTCATTTAGCAGACGCTCTTATCCAGAGCGACTTACAGTTAGTATGTGCATACATTTTCATACTGGCCCCTCGTGGGAAACGAACCCACAACCCTGGCGTTGCAAGCGCCATGCTCTACCAACTGAGCTACAGGGGACAGATAACATGGCATACATTAGCCCTATGCTAACCTCACCAGGTGGCAGTGATTATATTCTGTCTGATCCCTCCTGAGGACCCAGATTGAATTATGTAATCCTTCCTTAACCCAAAGGAAGTCTCGCCCAGTTGACTATTTCAAAATGGTGGAAGTCCCCGTGCTAAAACAGGCTTTTGGGCACTAAAGTCCTCTATGATGCTGTAACAGAAGCGGCTATTGCAAAGAGAGATGAGTTTTCTGGTACATCTCTATGGTCACCGCAGAGTAAGAAAAGCTAGAGGACGCACTTGGAACAAAAGACTGATGGCATGCAAGTTGTTTTTGAAGTGGTCATTTAGTAGAAATGATCAATGGCAAAGATACTAAAGAAAAAAAAAGAGTACTATGTGGCACCATTTGTCCCTGTAGGGGAACCATCTGTTAAAAGGTTCTAGATAGAACTCTTTCTGGTTCCAATTAGCACCCTTTATTTGGAACCCAGGTTCTATTTGACCTGAAAAGGGTTCTATCTGGAACCCATTTCCAGACTGGTTCTCCTACAAGGACAAATGGTGCTACATAGCACTCTTTTCTTCTGAGAGTGGAGGAGGTGTAGGTTTTCTAACTATGGGTGTCATGTCACCTAGAATATTTACTTTGAGTTCAATATTTACCTTCAATTAGTTATTTGAATGAAACCATGTTTACATATAGAAATAATTATACATGCACACGTGGGAGTATTATTTTCACAAACGTTCTTTGGTCATTCTCTTTTTAAACTGCAGGTATCACTCTCTGGGATTCTGAGATGCTACAGAAACACGTCAATGTCTGTCCACAACTGAACACTGACTTTAAAATCCTTGCTTCAGACTCAAGTAAAGCCAAGTCAGAAGCTTTGAATGTGTCTGCATCTCTTGAGGCCAGTTTTCTTGGTGGCTTAGTCAGTGTGAAAGGTTCTGCTGAATTCCTACATGACAAAAATACCTCAAAGCGTCAGTCTAGGGTTTCTCTGCAGTACCGTACCACCACTTGCTTCAAGCAGCTGACCATGGACCACCTTGGGCCAGGAAATGTGAAACACTGTAATGTCTTTCAAGAGGGCTCTGCAACCCATGTGGTGACTGCTCTGCTCTACGGAGCGCAGGCCTTTTTTGTTTTTGACCAAGAGGTTTCCTCAGGAGAAAACCACCAGGACATCCAGGGAAACCTGCAGGTCATAATAAAAAAGATCCCTCAAATATCAATAGAAGGGCAGGCAAAGTTGAAGATGAGTGAGGAAGAGAAGAGGGAGGCCAATAAATTCAATTGCACTTTCCATGGTGATTTTGCACTAGAAAACAACCCTGTCACATTTGAAGATGCCATCAGGGTGTATGCTGGCCTGCCACGTCTGCTAGGGGAGAACGGAGAACACGCTGTGCCCATGACCGTCTGGCTCTATCCTCTCAAAAAACTGGACTCTGCAGCTGCCCAGCTAGTCAGGCACATCAGTGTTAGCCTGGTGCGTCGCGCACAGCGAATCTTGGACGGACTGGACAATACTGATGTACAATGCCAGGACATGATGAAGGAAGACATGGCTATCAAGTTCCCTGAAATCAAAGCCAAGCTCAACAAGTTCAGGGACTTGTGCTCAGAGTACAAGCTGGTGTTCCAGAAAGGTCTCTGCAAGGTTCTTCCCAACATAAGAGGAGGAGGAATGGAAGAGGAAGAGCTGATAAAAATGCTCAACAGCAAAGAACGTTCTCCATTCCAGAATGACCTTATGATCACGTACCTGGACGACAGAGAGAGAGAGATGACTGTTGTCAGGTCTTACCTTGATGTAATGAAAGAGGTACAAGTTGTGTACTCAAGCAGTGAATTGGATAGAATAGTGCTTGATCAAGCTAATGATTATGTAGTGTGTTTTGCATTATCCTATTTGAAGGAGAAAGAAGAGTATGTGGAAGTATTGGAAAACTACTTGCTGGAAGAATCTAAGAGTGATTTTCCACAGATACCTTACAACCCCAACGCAGCTGGGAAATCTGCAGCAGAAAAGTGGTTTCACTCGGGGGAGGTAATGAACCTAACCAGGCAAACCATAAATCTGTTCCTAGACTTCAAAGAGTCAAACAAAGGCAGAGAGAATCTTGCATTCTGCATTGCATCAAGTCCAAACAAACTCCTCACTGCGTCCATCCATGTCTACGAAAGAGGAACACTTTTGAGTCCACAGTTTGAGCTGCCATCAAAGCCAGGTGTCCCCACCATCAAGAGTCTGGAGCATGACTGTGTCCACTTGCAAATCAACCCTCCCAACCTTGGTGTTACCTCTGTGGAGTCATACCAGGTTTTGTACCAGGCTGTGCAGGCTGACTCTAAGTGGACAGAGGTCAAACCTGATGCTACAACTAACCAGGTCACCATCAGTCATTTGGACCCTTACAAAAAGTACCGCTTTAGCTGCAAGGCGGTGTGTAGACCTGGTGTGAGCCTCTCCAGTGACTGGACAGAATACTTCAGGATCTGTTCATGTAGCCCCCCTGGACCACCCACAGAGAAGTGCATAGAATCGGGACGTATCAGAGTGAACTGGGACATTCCTACCATGGTGGGAGACGATGTTGCAGTCATCGGTTATGTGGTTGAATACAGACAGAGTGTAAAGGCTATAAACAATCAGATGTGGCACACCATCAACACCACCACTAGAGAGAGTACACTGGAAGGACTAGAGGCTGACACTGCATACAGCATCAGAGTATCTGCTAACTGTGGCGAAGCAGGGAAGAGTCTACCTAGTCCTGAGACTGTGCTGACTACCATTAGGGTCTCTGATGCCCAACCGAAGACGATCAAATCAACCGGAGCAAAAAGTGAGGAATTCCTCAAAAAATCCCAGAAGGTGGAAAAGGGCAACCCCTCAATCCACTGGCTGAATCTGGAACAGAAGTTTGGTGTAAATGAATGTTTTGGCCAGTACACATTTGGGAGGAAAGTTGAGCAAGGGAATAACAAGGTTATATTGCTTCTGGGGGCCACAGGTGCAGGAAAAACAACTCTGGTCAATGTCATGATAAACTACATTCTCGGGGTAAATTGGGAAGACTGTTACCGCTTTAAGCTCATCCATGAGGTGACCAACAAGTCACAGGCTGAGAACCAGACTATGGTTGTGACATCATACGAGCTCTACAACCAGCCAGGCTTTCAGATTCCTTATTCTCTGACTATCGTTGACACACCAGAGTTCGGAGACACCAGAGGAATGGCTCAGGATAAATTGATCATCCAGATGTTGAAGGATTTCTTGTGTAATCCTTTAGGGATTTATCACATTGATGCAGTCTGCTTTGTAGTGCAGGCATCAATTGTTCGTCTAAGTCTTTCCCTGAGATACATCTTTGATTCCATCCTGTCCATTTTTGGAAAGGATGTTGCAGAGAACATCCTGATGCTTGTGACATTTGTTGATGGGAAGCAGCTACCGGTGCTAGAGTTCATCGAAGCTGCAAATCTGCCCTGTAAGAAAAACAAGAAGGGGCAACCAACCCATTTCAAATTCAACAGTTCATTTCTGTTCTCAAAGGAGATGGAGAGCAGCAGTGAAGAGGACGATACAGATGATGATCTTAAGGCAAAGTGTCCAGAGCAATGGAAGTCAAATTTCAAGGAGATGAAGAAATTTTTCCAAGCACTGGAAAGCATTGAGAGCAAAGATCTGACCCTGACAAAGAAAGTGCTGGAAGAACGTGAGCTTCTGGAGAAGACCATAACACGCTTGACCCCTTAGATCACAGCAGGTCTGTCAAAGCTAAGTGAGATCAAAAGCTTCAAACAGTGTCTGGAGAACGAGAACGAGAACATGAAACAGAACAAAGATTTTGAGACAGAGGTAAATGTGCTGCAGGTGAAGAGAAGCAAATTATCCAAGGGCTTTGCGACAAACTGCAAGGTATGCAATTTCACATGTCAAACCTGCTGCTTCCTCCCAAATGAGGATGACATCAAAAGTTGTGCCGTGATGGATGATGATGGCAACTGCACCGTATGTCCAGGAAAATGCTCTTCCAGTGACCACGACAGGGAGAAAGTCTTGTTGACATATGAAATAAAGACTGAGAAAAAGACTATTCAAGAACTGAAGGACAACTTCATGAAGGCGTGGGGCAAGTATATGTCAACCAAGGAGATGCTGGATAAGCTTGAGGTTGAGTTTCATATGATCGAGGACGCGCTGATGAATTTGATCAAGCAGTCTTTTGACTGTTTCAAGAGACTTAATGAAGTTGCACTGAATCCAAGCTCTCTCTCCGCTATGGAATACATTGAGATACTCATTCACATAGAGGAGAACGAACGCAAGCCAGGCTTCGAGGATTGGATGGTATGGTTGAAGAAAATGAAGGCAGAGTCTGAGATTCTGGACAAGATTGCGAAAGGAGTAGATTTACTCCCAAATGAGCGAAAATTCATGAAAGATAAAGAGGATAGACGGCAGGGGGTTCCAACATAAGTCAGTCATGGGATTTAGTCCTGCTAACATTATCTGGACACCAAATTGAGTCTCCATTTGAATATTAAGTTTCCCAACGTTGTAGGAACATTTGCGTTTGCTGGGTAGATCCAACTGAGATGTGGGGTTCATTGGATTTGTATTAAAACTCTTAGCCTTGTGTAAAGCCTCATGTTAATTTGTCCACCCCAAGGTAACTGAACAAAAACTATGTCCTAGATTAAATCAGAACTCCATAGCAAATTATTGTTTTTGTTTAGGCAATGTCAGAGGTGTAATTGCATTGCTCTTGTGGTCATTGTCACAAAGCCACACCCATCCTACCCGTGTTAGAAGTTCAGAAGGAGGAAGTGTAGCTACATAGAAATAATGACACTCAAATTGAAAATCATTAAATGAAAGAATAAGGATTGATATCAGCCTAATCGAGGTGTACTTTGTATTACAACACACATTCCAATGTTCAAACTTGTAAAACGGATGCATGAGCTTTCTACTAAAGCGACTCGGTGCATCGAATGGCAATGTCCGCGATAGGTATAACACCCCGGAAACGCTTGCTGATTTGACAGCTACAACGCAGTAACACCTCTGACATGGCCTAAGGGTCTTTCTATAAACTAGAGAACCAGTGAGGATTTCCTGCGCTGGACAACTTACAGATACAGCTGTTGATAAGTCATTGATATAAGGAACATTCAATAAAATTCAACTATTTTTAACCCTTTCTCATGGTGTCTTGACAGATTTGTCCAAAATCGTGTGACATAAAACACTACATTTCTTACCTTGCATTTATGGCAGTGTTTGTTGTTATATCATATGTTAAGCATTTATCAGGTAAATTAGACATTGAACTTGAACCCGGTAAGAATCCTGGATCTTGCTCGGACAGTTGTTATGGATGCCGATTTTGGAAATGCACTGTAACTAGGCCTACGTAACATTTAGTGTTTCCTGTTACGGCGTGAATATAGTTTTCATGGTTACACAAATCCAAAATGTATGTGATTGCAAAATCGAATGCTTCTAACTGATATAGTCTTTACTAAATCCTTAAAACCAAAATCGATATTCATTAAACGTGGTTCTTCAATAAATACTTGTTGGATGCGCATTTGATGTCAAGCTGTTTTAATTACGTTGTGATAGTTTCACACATCATCTGATCCAGGAAATTATTTTCTGAATGACAGTCAAGTGACAAACAGCTGTTGTGATACAGCACTTGATGCAATATTAGCCAAAGTGCAGGAAAAATTATGTTTGCAAGGAATGTGTCTCATTCGTTAACCCGATGAAGACCATTGTGCTGTGATCCACATTGGATCTAATATCCCTAGCAGATTGATGTTGATTGTCTGTTCTTGTCTGCTTGATTTAATGTCTCCTGAGTGGCGCAGTGGTCTAAGGCACTGCATCGCAGTGCTAACTGTGTCACTAGAGATCCTGGTTCGAATCCAGGCTCTGTCGCAGCCGGCCGCGACCGGGAGACTCATGGGCGGCGCACAATTGGCCCAGCGTCGTCCAGGGTAGGGGAGGGAATGGCCGGCAGGGATGTAGCTCAGTTGATAGAGCATGGCGTTTGCAACGCCAGGGTTGTGGGTTCGATTCCCACAGGGGGCCAGTATAAAAAAAAATAATAATAATTATATGTAAGTCGCTCTGGATAAGCGCGTCTGCTAAATGACTAAAATGTAAATTTAAAGCAGGGTCACGTTAGATTGAACAGAGAACGTGTCAAGGTAATGAGGTATAGTTTTATTGGATACGGTCTGCTGTGCGCAATTGTGTAGCATAGACTATTGCGTATGGAAACATGGCCTTAACTACATCTGAGGACACCGACTTCCGTGTACGTTTTGGCCAATTAATATTTCTTACTACATGACAAGATAAAAAAACGAGTAAAGGGTCGTTCCTCGTTTATATGATTTGAATCTGAAATTAAACAAGTCATAAACTTTTTTTTGTTCTTGTCTAAAGGAAATATTAAATAACGAGAAACTGAATAATAATTTGATTATTTAAATGTGTTTTTATAATTATTGGTTCTAGTTCAACCCGTGAACAGGGCCAGATTAACAAATCGTAGTCCCCGGGGCTTTGTTTTTTAAATAATTGATCATTTCCAGTGGCACACTGACTCACCTAATGATGGAGACGAAGCCATAGGCTACCCACGGTGATGGTCGATGCGCTCGCCGAGCTACTTTGAAAAACAGTGCTGCTGTTAGTTAGACATTTGGAGTTGTTGAGATTTGTTTCTATATACTCTTCTCTTTTCAGCAGTAGGCATTTGCTTTCCAAACTACATTTTTCCCAGGATTGTGTTTTGAAATTTGCAAAAGGCAAACTGACAGTCGCAACCAACCATAGAAATATACTGAACAAAAATAAACGCAACATGTAACAATTTCAAAGATGTTACTGAGTTACAGTTCATATAAGGAAATCAGTCAATTGAAATAAATTAGGCCCTAATCTATGGTTTTCACATTACTGGGAATACAGATACACCTTAAAAAAAAAAGCAATGGTGTGGATCAGAAAACCAGTCAGTATCTGGTGTGACCACCATTTGCCTCATGCAGCGCGACACATCTCTTTTCCATAAGAGTGCATCAGAATGTTGATTGTGGAATGTTGTTCCACTCCTTTTCAACGGCTGTGGAAAGTTGCTGGAATTTGGCGGGAACTGGAACACGCTGTCGTACACATCGATCCAGAGCATCCCAAACATGCTCAATGGCTGACATGTCTGGTGAGTATGCATGCCATGGAAGAACTGGGACATTTTCAGCTTCCAGGAATTGTGTACAGATCCTTGCAACATGGGGCCGTGCATTATCATACTGAAAACATTGTGTCAAATGAATGGCATGACAATGGGCCTCACGATCTCATCACAGTATCTCTGTGCATTCAAATTGCCATCGATAAAATGCAATTGTGTTCATTGTGCATAGCTTATGCCTGCCCATACCATCAACCCACCGCAACCATGGGCCACTCTGTTCACAATGTTGACATCAGCAAACCGCTCACCCACACGTCTGCCATCTGCTCGGTACAGTTGGAAACCGGGATTCATCTGTGAAGAGCACACTTCTCCAGCGTGCAAGTAGCCAAGGTGAGCATTTTCCCACTGAAGTCGGTTACAACGCCGAACTGCAGTCAGGTCAAGACCCTGGTGAGGATGACGAGCACGCTTGGTAACAGGCTGATTGGTTGGCTATACAGTGGGGGAAAAAAAGTATTTAGTCAGCCACCAATTCTGCAAGTTCTTCCACTTAAAAAGATGAGAGAGGCCTGTAATTTTCATCATAGGTACACGTCAACTATGACAGACAAAATGAGAAAAAGAAATCCAGAAAATCACATTGTAGGATTTTTTATGAATTTATTTGCTAATTATGGTGGAAAATAAGTATTTGGTCAATAACAAAAGTTTCTCAATACTTTGTTATATACCCTTTGTTGGCAATGACACAGGTCAAACGTTTTCTGTAAGTCTTCACAAGGTTTTCACACACTGTTGCTGGTATTTTAGCCCATTCCTCCATGCAGATCTCCTCTAGAGCAGTGATGTTTTGGGGCTGTCGCTGGGCAACACAGACTCCAAAGATTTTCTATGGGGTTGAGATCTGGAGACTGGCTAGGCCACTCCAGGACCTTGAAATGCTTCTTACGAAGCCACTCCTTCGTTGCCCGGGCGGTGTGTTTGGGATCATTGTCTTGCTGAAAGACCCAGCCACGTTTCATCTTCAATGCCCTTGCTGATGGAAGGAGGTTTTCACTCAAAATCTCACGATACATGGCCCCATTCATTCTTTCCTTTACACGGATCAGTCGTCCTGGTCCCTTTGCAGAAAAACAGCCCCAAAGCATGATGTTTCCACCCCCATGCTTCACAGTAGGTATGGTGTTCTTTCGATGCAACTCAGCATTCTTTGTCCTCCAAACACGACGAGTTGAGTTTTTACCAAAAAGTTATTGTCGTATCGGGTGAATGGTGGCCATTATTGCTGTCAACAAAGAGTCCGTTCAAGCTGCACCGTGTTAGAGGCTTTTATTAAAATCACGAGGTTACAGCCTAAATTACAGACCCGCGGTGTCCGGAGAACGGCATCCCAGATTGCCATGGCCGTTCTGCCCTTTCTGTAGTCTAGCCCCTATTTATAAACAATGCAAAAATATGCTCCCTCTTCTGGCCAATCACCAGTCGCCCCTGTCTACAACACACTTCCTGTCTGTTGTATGTGACGTTACACTAAAACGTTCCCTCTTGATACTAAAATCAACATTCTCTCTGGTTCCACTTAAAACATTAACAACGTCATAATCTCAATACACGACATATTCCCCCCTTCGAGACAAATTAAAAGTCTCGAAAACAAACAGGATTATGACCAGTAACAATTTATCTTATTGAGTATCTTTAACATTAAACCAAAAACATTCTCCTCTAGAGTGTAAATACCTTTCTATGAAATATGAATAACGGTTTATGAAGTATGAATACATTACTATGAAATATGAACAAATCTTTATGGAGTGTAAGAGCGAAAAACTGTCCGGCAACCTTCCATCCATCAATCAAGACAGTAAAATTCTCTCACGGTCCCTCTGCCCCAGGCAACCACCTTCGGTACTCCAGATAAACTCATAACCCATGTAAATGCATTTGAAACTATGATGCAATTAAATACACATGTAAGCCCCTGCAAACAAAATCCTATCCAATAAGTATCCATTGTAAGGCTGGTCAACCCATTGGACCTTACAGTGAACCTCTCCCTGCCTAAATTCCCTGTCCCTAATCATTCACGAAATAAAAAAAAACATCTAAGATCCTCACATGTATTCAATAACATCAAACATCATTCTACAAAAATTTATCCCTAAGGCTATTACACAAATTATGTGTTACACATGTCTATATTTCATTGCAGACACTGGAATGTAGTCCACTACACTTCATCTCCCCGTAGTCTCCT